AGACAGGTGTGATATGGACAGGTGTGACAGGTGTGATACAGACAGGTGTGACCTTATCAACTGCACCGAGTGGGTGAGTACGGACAGACAGACAGGTGAGATAGGGACAGGTGTGTGACAGGTGTGATACAGGTGTGATACAGACAGGTGGGACAGGGCAACTGCACCGAGTGGGTGAGTGAGACACGGACAGGTGTGATATGGACAGACAGACAGACAGGTGTGACAGGGACAGGTGTGATACAGGTGTGTGATACAGGTGTGATACAGACAGGTGTGACCTCGTCAACTGCACCGAGTGGGTGAGTACGGACAGGTGTGATAGGGACAGGTGTGATACAGACAGGTGTGTGATACAGGTGTGACAGGGACAGGTGTGATACAGGTGTGACCTCGTCAACTGCACCGAGTGGGTGAGTACGGACAGACAGACAGGTGTGATATGGACAGACAGACAGGTGTGTTATGGACAGACAGGTGTGTTATGGACAGACAGACAGGTGTGTTATGGACAGACAGACAGACAGGTGTGTTATGGACAGACAGACAGGTGTGACCTTGGGAGCCCTGGAGCACAGGTGGGACACACAGACAGGTGTGACAGGGACAGGTGAGACAGGTGAGGGACACACAGACAGGTGTGATATGGACAGGTGTGACACAGACAGGTGTGTTATGGACAGACACACAGACAGGTGTGAGCTCAGGTGTGACTCAGGGCTGCCCCAGATACCTGTGGGTAACTCAGGTGTATCCCAGGTACACTCAGGTGTATCCAGGTGTAACTCAGGTGTACCACAGTTAACTCAGGTGTATCCAGGTGTGTCACAGGCACACTCAGGTGCACTGAGGTGTATCCCCGGTTACTCCAGGTGTACCACAGTAAACTCAGGTGAGTCACAGGTGCACCCAGGTGTAACTCAGGTACACTCAGGTGTATCACAGTTAACTCAGGTGTAACTCAGGTGTATCCAGGTACACTCAGGTGTATCTCAGGTGTATCTCAGGTAACTCCAGGTGTGTTTCCAGCCCCCGTTCGTGGTGACCCTGGACGAGGTGGAGCTGATCCACTTTGAGCGGGTGCACTCAGGTCTATCCCAGGTGTATCACAGTTAACTCAGGTGTAACTCAGGTGTATCCAGGTGCACTCAGGTGTAACTCAGGTGTATCCAGGTGCACTCAGGTGTATCTCAGGTAACTCCAGGTGTATTTTCAGCCTCCCTTCGTGGTGACCCTGGACAAGGTGGAGCTGATCCACTTTGAGCGGGTGCACTCAGGTGTATCCAGGTGTACCACAGTTAACTCAGGTGTATCCCAGGTGTATCCAGGTACACTCAGGTGTATCCCAGGTGTGTCCCAGGTGTATCCCAGTTAACTCAGGTGTATCCCAGGTTACTCCAGGTGTATCTCAGGTGTAACTCAGGTGTGTTTTCAGCCCCCGTTCGTGGTGACCCTGGACGAGGTG